AAATTTTAGGAGCATGTCAGGATAATGAGTTAGAAAATGGAATTTGGGCTTCAGTGTTTCACCAGAAACCTGGCGATACAATGCGTTGAAATCTCGAATCAAATATTTTAACTGTTCCACCGTATCACTATATACCCTGTGATTAAGCAGTCTCTCCAATATTTTTCTCAAAGCAAGATATAACTCCCAAGTTTCATCACCGACAGGAACATAATAACCGGCAATAAGGCCAAAGTACCTCATCAAGGTTAACATTTCAATTGCCGAGGTTTTAATCCTCACGGAGTTAGCAGCTTCCAAAATTATACAAGAAGTAGGCTTTGACCCTGAATCCGGACCGTAATCGAAAGAAACTAATTTGCTTATAAGGGTGTTATAATGAGGCATAGATCTCGAAATTAAATTATTTATAACATAAGTCATAACATATCGAGCAGTTCCTTCAAGAATATCGTGCATAACATCAACCGCAGTATGTTCAAAGGGATCGAAACCATTTAGCTCAAGCCAACAACATGATTCCTTTATGCCAGTTTTGGATACATCCTTCATCTCAAGCTGCTGAAGGTATGAATTCATGTCCCTCATCAGTTCATTGTTTTGGATAGTCATACTTTGCATGCATTTTTTTGGAGCATTGCAAATCCTACAATAGTGATTAGCGACGAAGCTTTCAGTGAAACCAAGTATAGAGTTAAGTCCTAAATTATCGCCAGTTAAGCAGACTACCTTAAACTTTATGACCCCCGTGAAAAATTCTGTGGTAATGGTAATACCTGTAGTGTGCAAATAATTAAGTTCATCAATGGCTGGTTGGAACACTTTTTTGTTTTTAAATTGGGTCTTGTCGGAAGAATGACATAGAGATAACATAAAAGTGTGGTTTAGCTGAGAAACGATATGTGGAGGAAGTGCAGGTATAGAAACATATAGACCCCCTAATTTATGAATGCCCGCATGGCTCCCTAATACATTGGATATTTCAAAATCGTCGTAGAAAATAACGAGCGGCAGAACAACAGTCAGTGGATCATTACTTAAAAAAGGTGATTTATATAGGTTCAGCCAAGCAGAGCCATGCATAACATTTTCCAGGCATTGGTTCGGCTCTTGGGTGTCGTATCTTCTTTCCTCGTTCTTCTCTCCACCCCATGTTGCCCCTCCACCTAACTCTTTTAGGTATTCGACAGTCTCTTTCAAAACAGTACCAATAGAAAAAAACTTAAGCAATACATTTCTCAAGGGAATCAACTCCATTGTGCATGTCCGAGGAGTTATAATTAACCTATTGTGTTTCATTAGTGTTTCTCTACGATAGCCCAGTACTACTTCCATTGGTGAAATGTAAGTTCCTAAAGATGCGAAGAGCTGAAACCTTTTATATTCTGACCGTAGGGGTTCCAAGCAGTCATCAAGTAAAATTAAAGTCTCCTTCAAAGCTGACTGGACTTCATCAAAAGTGCTTCCTTCTTTCACCAAAGAAAGGAATTTGACTTGAAGATCTTCAGAAAGTTGTTGGTGAAATGATTGCATACCGTTCACAACAACCTGCACAGTGGAACGAGGAATGGCAGGGTTACTATACAATGACGCAAGGAACTGAGAAGTAATTGCAAGGAGTTGCTCCGACAGATCCACATTTCTCATGGAATGTTCATAAGCTACAATATTAAATCTGAGGGGCTCTAGAACTCCGTCATTGACATTATCGTATTTAACATTATCACCAGCAGAAGAAGGTCCTGGCTGTGGAGTTGATCTATGATTTGAATTTATTTCTACATTTATATCTGCAGTAACATTCTCATGCTTTGATTTCAAGTGACGACGGAAGGCATCCAAAGATGTGAACTGCCTGAAGCAGCCAGATTCACCACATTTGTATGCCAGCCATTTACGAAAATGAGTGAAACAATTTTTCCTTATGTGAAGGAGAAGGTCCTTCACCAAGGGGAATCGTTTCTTGCAAGAATGACAAGTTAACATCTTTCCTTCAAGCCGAGATCAACAAATAAAGTTTTCACTGCTGCAGTTGGTCTATCGTATGAAGTCGATATGCGATAAAAGCCTTTTTGAATAAAAAGCCAAACGTCATAAGCTAAAGGGGGATATTCTGCAGCAGTGGCATGTATAATTTTAAATGTATTATCAACCGCTGAAATTAGGGAATCAAATTTGTACCGTACCCGTTCCACTATTACAAGGCACTCAACTAGTGATGAGAGTGACTCGCCTACTACGACAACCAGTGGTTGAAAAGTTAAATTCCAGGACTCTAGTTGACGTCGCTTATCTTCAAGCGTAGCGTCGAGGTCTGCGATGTTCGAGACGTGAAGAATGCTCACTTTTATCCCCTTCTTCTTGGTTGTTGTCCCCGTATTAAAGATGTAGGGGAGACCGGGGACAATTGTAACAATTTTTAAATAATCAAGTTCCATTTTGTAGGTGTTCATGAAAATTATCTGAACTCTTGGTGGTGCATTAGGACATGTTTCCTTTATGTGTCGGCGAAGTAGGGGCTATATTTGGATAATCTGTTAAAAAAAATGATATTGTATCTATATAGCTGTCACATGTTACATTTGTACCGCGTCTGGGGACAAATGTAACGAACCTGGGGACAATTGTGACAACTTAATTTACGTTGAAATAAAACCCATCGAATTACTTTTCGTTTTTAATTTTTGAAATAACATAAATGCATTTCTGTAATTTAACAAAAAAATAACAATAAAGTAATTAAAATTCTCAAACACTTAGGTAAATAGGTAGATATTAATCTCTGCAGTTGATGCAGTAGAAGAAAAAGCTATCCTCTTCATCTCTACAGTCCGAATGGCACCAGCTCTTGCAGGACTGACACTGTATCCACTCCTCACCACGCTTGTCATTGGAGTAGGGCTTTAGGCAATACAGACATACTGCGTCGTCCTCATCCGATGAACTAGAAACTACACTTTTTTTCTTATACACCTTTCTCTTTACTTTCTCAGCGTTCTTTTTTCGAAGTTTGGATGCCTCTTCCTCAAGTGCCATCTTCTCAGGTGTTTCAGTTAGTATTGCCGTTGATCTCTTTTTCCTTATAACTTTTTTCTTGAGATTTAATGGAACCTTTGGAAAGGGCCGAATTGTTTCCAATAATTCTTTGGAATTGTTTAATGCGTCTATTTGGTGAGTATCTATTTTCGTTGGTGTTTTATTGCCAATGATGTGATCAGATTCTCGTGATGTTGATGGAATAGGGTCAGTTTGAACTAATTGGGGGATCTCTGCTGCGTTGTATAGGTTGGTGGTTAAAGGGGTGTCAGTCGGTAGAGAGGGTGAAAACTCGTAGTCTTGAAACACATCTCTATTAAAAGGAAATATTCCCGACACTTTGAATCCACTAAGGATGTTAGTTGGCGTAGTAGCTTTTGGTAATGCTTCGGCGACAAGTCCTGGTAAGTCATATATCCCCATGGTCTGTCCGGGATGATTTTTCATCCAAGCGTCCATAGCACTGTTCATATATGTTTTTAGTGGACCATATACACTTCGATCTAAGGGCTGTAATTTATGCGAAGTGTGAGGCGGAAATGACAGAAGAACGATTCCGTTGTCTCTGCAGAAGTCGATAGTTTTTAGCCCTAAATGTGATCTATGATTGTCGAGAAGCAGGAGGATTTTATTTTCTTGTGAAGGTTTACTATATTTGGCAAAATGTTTTATATAGGTGAAGAATGTGTCTGTGTCCATCCAGCCAGAACCATTGGCTTCTCCGATTGAACCAGTTGGAGCCCCGGTCATGAAAAATGGTTTGAATCTCTTCCTAGGGAATATAAACATGGGAGGAATAGCGTTGCCTATAGCATTTACAGCTACACAAAGGGTAACTAACGTTCCCCTTTCACCAGAAGTTACCGCCCCGACTTGCTTAGTGCCCTTAGTTGAAACAATTTTACTCGGTTTTTGCACTGTGGTAACCCCCGTCTCATCTACATTGTATATGTTGGCGGCTTCAAAATGATATTTATCCATAACTTTAGATAAATTATCAAAAAATTTTGTAACGTTGACTCTGTTAAAGTTCACGGCCCTAGCGTGACTTGTGGCCTCTGGCACTCTAATTGACAATGTTGGATTTCTGTTCATAAAGTTGGAGAACCAATCTCTAGATCCCATTTTGGTAACGTGCCATTGCTCGGGAACTGTAACAGATTTCCTAATGGCAAATTCGTATACAAGAGAACGAACATCAGTTGGCGTAAGTCCAAAATATAAGTCAGAAGAATTCCGTATGTAATCACAAAATATATGTTCGTCTTCTGGAGATAGTATCCTATTATGTGAATTGTAACCAACTCTAGGTTGTTCAATACCATTTTTAATTTTCTGTATGTATCGGTGTACAGTTACATGACAGATTTGAAGTTGTCTTGCGGCTTCTCTTACGGAGACGCTTTTTTCCAAGACTAGGGAAGCTGCTTGTTGCAATTGTGTGCTTGCTGGAAGACCCCCTTTCTGTTTTCCTAATCCTGGACCGTGGCATACTCTGCAAGCATGGTTGCTAAGTAACCGATACCAAGCGCCAAAGATGGAAGGGGACAATTGTAACACGTTACAAACGTCCCCCAACTTGTTACAATTGTCCCCAAAATGCATTTTTCTTAAATTATTAATTTAAACCAAGAATCAATTTCAGTGTGAGATTAATAGCGTGTGGAGTGAATGACACAATATCTAACCAACGTGCAGGTAAGATTTGAACGTAATCAAGCAACATTTAGTCACCTAATATACAAAAGGAATGAGTAGGTAATAGTTTACTTACGGTTCACAAATAGGTACACAACACTTCACGCGGTGACGATTGTAACGCAACTAACGGATTCAAACTCCTGTGGCAAATGGCATCCATTGTGACCTTCCAACAGATGCAAGCGCGCGAGTTTGAAATTACTGTGGGCGAAGATATTGCCGCTGTTACAATTGTACCATGTTACAATTGTCCCCGGTCTCCCCTACGGCAGGAGGAGAAGGCTGGTGTTTAGTTTACTCTCGATATTCACCTCTGAAACAATAGAAAATAAATAATAGTAATAGCAATATTTATTTTATATTTAAATTGAACTAATATTGCTAAACGTACCGTCAACACTTGATAGGCAGGTCTGAATGTTCTCTTTAAGGAATTCGTCCTTCGTAGTGGTACATTTCGTGGCGGCCTTCTGAAGAATCTTTGTGCTTACACTCTCCAGTGATTCACGGAGCAAGGCTTCGTCTTTGTCGGGAAAAATCCGTTGATAATCTAACGCTAAGAGTCGATATCCGCTGGGTCCCTTAAGTATGGGAAACTCTTCAATATAATCATGAAGATTCCCAGGATTATGATATAGTTTCGCCAGCCGGGCCCTAGTTGTGCAACCCCAATGGCGTTCCACTTCCTCCCAAGGTGTTGCGCCTTCCACTGCGGTTTGGCAGAAAAGTATTGACTCTTCTACCCTTTCACTCTCGCCTAAAACAATCAGAAAAATATTCACATTATACGATTCGTTTGATGTGTAGGTATCTAGTGGGTATGGCACAGTGATGTGACGTTTTTGAACAGACTGCCAATACACTTATTTTCGACTTCATTTAAAAAATTTTTAATTTTATTTATTACTGGTATGAGGTACAATTTGACATTTGAGTATACACAAAAATAGTCAGCTGTTAAAAAAGCTATCAAGTGACGTCTCTGAATCTTTTGTTGAAACTATACAACGAGAAATTCACAGAGTTTCACCTGCCATGCTTCACTATGGACGATTTCACTACCTTCCATAAAAATCGATTATTTTCACATACTCACATAGAAGTGTACCAGTAATGAATAAATCTAATAAATTTTGAAGTAAAGTCGAAAATAAATATATAAATAAATAAATATCTCAAAAACATCTCTCTCACTCTGCCTAACCCTGTATATATGTATCAAGATTCTTACCCGCACCAAGGGTGGATAAATCAATGGGAGCTTCCTTCCTATTCTCTGTTCCCGAGTTCTCTGAGGTTGTGGAGCTAGAGGTGCCTTTCCGCTTCCGAAAGGGTTCTACTGCCTGCTTGCTAATAAGGTTACGTCTCTGTCTCAAGTAATAATTATACAGACTGCCGGATGGGTTTCTCTTGGGCTTTCCTTGTTGGGCAGAAATGTATGCTGTATAGTACAGCACTGGTGATTCACAGTTAAAAAGCTGTGCAATGCCTCTGGCGAGGGTTTGGAACCGTGCGAATGTAATATGAACTTGGGGATTGCGCTCAAATTCGTGATTAATTAATAATTTTACAATCTCCTTTCTTTGTCGTTGATGGAGAAGGCCAGTTTTGGCAGCCTCGCTGCTTAATATAATACGGCCCTGCAGACTGCTTAGCAGAACGTTCCTTACCTGAATGAAGAAATAAAATAAGTGTATTGCAGGTAACGAGGCCATACAGCAAAAAGACAACAATTAATTAAATCAGCGTTACAACAAAATTGAAATAAAATAGTAAAACCATAATCCCATAATCTGCTTCTGACTTATCTAAGTATACTTGACTAATTGCAATACATACGAAATAAAACTTACATGTGCCGCATCATCTTGTTCCAAGATAGGTGTTGGGGGTGTGGGATGTGTTGGTGGAATCTCGTGTTGAGGCGACAGCAAATTCTGTTCCTCAAGTGAACCTGCTGCAACTTGTTGGAGTGGAGATTCCACAAAGTTATCTCGAATAAAGCTCGAAATATTTGTGAGGAAGGATTGGGGGCTGCCTGGATCCGTACCTGATCCCTCAATACTAATCTTCTCAGTGGAGAGCTACAAACAAAACGACATGCATTAACTTATTCTAATCTACAGATCATGCACCTTGATCAAAAATTACACATTCGTAGGAAATTAGTTTGTATGATAGCGTCGAGTGAGCATTTCTCACACAACGGTGAAAGACATGATACATGTATTGAAATTATTTTAGTTAAATGCAGTTTTCCAATAATAGTATTAATTTTCTAAGGAGCCATCTTACACCCCCTGGTAAACTTACCTCTATGGAAGTTCCCAGAGATTTAAATTTACCAGTAGGTGGGTAGGTACCACGGTGATATTCCGCGTGGTAGGTACTTATATACTCGTAAGCACACGACTTACTAGAAAATATGCACAAAATAAATATCTGTCAGATATCAAGTTATGCGATAGTTTCAGTAATATCATTTATCTGCACATATCATCTAGTACCCATAATATAAGTTGATATATTTCTAAAATATAAAATTGGCAATCTTTAGCTCCCTAGGATCGACTGATTAAAAAAAATTGGCTTACTAACCCTGTTTATGTTTGAACACTCATTGTCGGCTTTCCACAACGTTAATTGAGCTAACAGTTTAACTCTGTCCCCTAGTACTGGCACTAGATTTGCGACATCACCTTCTGTCAGTAAGGTCAGTGCTGTGGTATCAATTCGGTTTTCTTAAAAAGCAAATGAGAATAAATCGTTAAATGTGTATTTTTTTAGCTTTAACCAAACTAATTCGGACGATACAGGGTGTTTGGCGCCACCGAAGTATTAAACGTTTTAAGACTATAATAAGGCAATCATCCTAAAAAAATGCACACGTCTGTAAGAGATAACGATCTATTTAACTACAATGTCTTGTAGAACATGCCACTTCCTGTTTACCGGAAGTCGGTCCCAGTTTTGTTATGTTGAATTGAATGCTATTTGAATTTTGATTCTTCAGAAGATTCCTCGTGCAATGGTATTACATGTCCCTATGTCTATTTTATGTTTTTTAGTTATTCCATATTTTCTATAAAAATTGACCTGAACTCACTAGTATGGAAATACTCGTATTTCCGTTATGCTACCAACTCAAACGAAAACTATTTCAGGAATTAAAGTGGCAGAGTGGAACTATCATTGTTTTTTTCATACTAGTAAGTTCGTCAATTTTTAAAGAAAACATAGAATATCTCAACAGTTGAAAATAAGCATAGGGATATGTAATACCATTAGATGAAGAATATACTCTTATAGAATGAAAAAGTCAAATAAAAAATATAGCCTTCCATTTAGAACAACAAAGTTGACATCGACTTCCTGTATAACCGTCTAATAGGTCAATTGCGGAAAATACCCTGTATACAATCATTGTTCTTACACTTGTTTTAACATTAATTAATAATAACAATAAGATAGACTTTATTAGACTATTATTGTCATATTATGTAGGCCCAAAATGTTAAAGAAATGAAATAATGCACATGAACTGCACAAAATAAATTAAAGAAACAAAAATACCAGCTTTATATTTAGTATACCTTTATATTTAAAATAATAAGAAGGCATACAAATACAATGTGTCCCGTCGATGCACTAAAGAAAGTCTTTATTTTAACTAAGTAATTATAATTTCCAAAAATTATTTACGTAACTGCAGTACCCTCAATTAACCCATTTAATACCGTTGGTGCATTTTCGAACCACGCCCTTTAATTTGTTTATATTAACAATTTTAGCTCTTCTGTTTCTGTTATATCAGTATGTATTATAGTATTCAACAAAATATTTCTAACAAATTTTATTGCTCTTTTGTGATTAGTAGTAATTTACAACATAAAACGTATCATTTTGTCAGTAAAAAAAAATGTAGCCAAACATTTGTTTTCCAATTTTAATTTTAATTGTTATCAAGATCTTTATATGTTACGAGCAATGTGGTTGACCGGTCAATGTTAATAATTAAATATTTTCACATACTTTCATAAGTGGCAATAGTTCCTCCCCCTTAAGCTTCCGGGGCCGTTAAAAAAATTTGCCTTCTCTTAATAATTGACCGGACTAACCCGATTGCCAGTAACATAAATAGGGGATGAAGTGAGTGTCGAGGAAATGTCAGAAGACCATTTATAACCACAACCAAAAACAAAAATTCAATTTTTTTAATTTCATTAGCTTGAGATTAATAGGGTTAATATCTGCAGTACCTAGGTTAAATATCTTTACTACGGGATACATTGTACTATTTGGTAGTCTAGAAAAAGGAATTGCATCATTCAAGTTTTACGTAGGTTAACCATAGGCGCCCACAGGAGGAAGAACATCATTGGATTAATGCTATTATAGGAGACCAAAGCAATCATTGCAGATTTAAAAATAAACTGAATCTTGCAGGCGCCCATGGGTACTGGTGCCATGCAAATATTTATTAACTAATTACAATTCAAATGAAACTTACCTGCAAACACATCAATATATTGGAAGAACCCCCAATTTGTAAGGAGGTTTGTCACAAGTTGATCCATACACACAGTTGTTTTTTACCCTCTTTTAACACTCACTTGACCGACTGAATACAGAGTAAAGACGACTATGCTATGATATTGGCGCAATTTTGAAACGCGAAGGTACAGTGGAGCGTTTTTGAACGCACAAACGCGAAAAATGTTTTGTTTTTTACCCTCTTTTAACACTCACTTGACCGACTGAATACAGAGTAAAGACGACTATGCTATGCTATTGGCGCAATTTTGAAACGCGAAGGTACAGTGGAGCGTTTTTGAACGCACAAACGCGAAAAATGACACTTCATCAGATGAAAAGATGTATTATAATCGTATGACCTTTCAATATACGATTGTAACACGGTTATTTTCCTTCTGCTGAAAACTAAAAATGTTTAAATGATCTTATATTTGTTGGCGTACTGAAGGCGAAATTGGACGTAAGATACTTCCGCATCTCTATTCCGCAGTACCATAATGGTGAAATACCTTTAATCGACTGCAGGAAACAACACTGTAAGACACACTCAGATAACCAAGAAAGCGAATTTCGCATTACCAGCGAAATGATCCACCTGAGTCATGGTTGTACTATCTTAGGAATAATACAAATTACGCTTTACGAGAAACAGAGATAATACAGTGGTTGTTACTGACGGCGAAATTTGATGTAACAGTAATAGTAATTTATGATTTATCAGTATAACAATTTATACATTATTTTCGGTCTTGAATCAAATTACGAGAATGATGAATGCACTTTCGTGCACTGAAGAAAAAACCATAGTACAATGCAGTGCAACCCACACAAAATGCGAATAACGCGTTACTACACAGAAAGAAAAAATTACCTAAATATGAGAAAAATAGTGATCGAAACAAGTCTTTTGACCTCAAAATCCTTCCAAAGCTTATAACCATTGCTAGAAGGTTTCGATGGTGATTGACTAATAGCGAGTGCCTCAGTATTAGGCTCCGATGACATCAATTCAGTCTCGCTAACATTGCGTTGTTTGGATGTTTAAGAACCTTAATACAATGGCTGGGAGTATCGGTTGAGGTTGCGGTTCCTTAGTATTAGGCTCTGATGACATCAATTTCGTTCGTTGAAATTGTGTTGTTTTGATGTTCTAGAGCCTTAATACAATGGCTGGGAGTATCAGTTGAGGTTGCGGTTCCTTAGTATTAGGCTCTGATGACATCAATTTCGTTCGTTGAAATTGTGTTGTTTTGATTGTAACAGTTTAGTTTATTTATATTCAAATTTCAAAATTACCGCTTGCTACGTTAGGCAGGATATAGGTGAGATGGCGTCACTTGTACGCGTGCTTCTTTCCTCGCGCAGAATCGCGTAATTTTTTCACTTCATTTCCGTTTTAAAGCCAACGAGGTTGTACTTGTAGAGCGTGGCATTGTGAATTCTTCTTAAACCAGTGGGTAATATTTGCCATCATTCACGTAAAATCTCTGGCAATTTTACCTGTTTATTGGCGTTGTCGAGTAGAGTAACTCAGAAGCCGTTTTCTCCGTTGTGAGGCTATATCTGGTGGAAGTTCATCGCCCTACCTACATGTAAGTGAAATGGCGTTGGCTTTCTTTTACGTTATGTTATCTAAAATTCTTTCAGATTCACAACCTCTTGGATAATTTTCATATTTCATTGATTTAAGTATTTTTCATTACCCTCCTGACGATTTCAGGTATGTTATTAAAAATCTCGTTAAGGGAGTGTTACATCTTCATTACTTTTAGGGGGTCCATGTAGTAGACGAATTCTTGTACCGGTCAATCCATGTAGTAGACGAATTCTTGTACCGGTCAATCCATGTAGTAGACGAATTCTTGTACCGGTCAATCCATGTAGTAGGTCAATCCTTGTACAGACGAATCCTTGTATGTAAATGAATTTGCATCTTGCGAATATTCCGGAGTACGAACACCTGTTGATTGCCGGCAGCTATCCGGCGTACCACCGAGTAGATAAGCGCCAACACCTAAACGATACCGGGAGCGACCAGCTGATTGTGGAATTTTCGGAAGATACGATCTTTTACACAACCTTTTTTATTTGCTTCAATACCGTTAATCTAGTGTAACCTTCCGACGATTTATGATCGGAGCTTTGTATTTTGTTCGCATCTAGTGTTTGAGGTCGTGGCTCTCTTCAAGAGCAACGCACCTGTATTTAACGTATGGGTAAACGAGCCGGCTACGAGTAAGCTATTTTTTTTTGGCCCTTCCGGCTCATATAATCGTTCCGAGCGTTGTAGCTTGGGGTTTGTTTTTGTGTTACAGAACTGGAACTTCGAAGGAGAGCTCTTTTTCGGAGAAGACAGCGTATGTGTTATTCAAGGTAAGATTTTTAATTTACTTGTACCCAGTGTTGCCTATATGAGTTGTTATTCGGGTTAACTTAATTCAATCTTTGAATCCATTGAAATCTTAACTACATTTTTGCTCGATCATTGTTGTAGGGGTCTGGTAACGTAATTATTAGGGAAGTGTTCAGGAATTTATTTGGGGATTATTTTTGTCATTTAAAGTATTTGTTATTGTCGTATTGAAGATACATTTTATTTGCCGATCCTGCACCGTTTTGTCAGGATTAATAAATCAGAATTGCTCGTAGTGAATTTATTATTTGGCTCTCTTGTGTTTTCCCAATTTCTATACAGGAGAGGTCAGAATTTGTGCAAAATTGGGTGGCGCTCAACTAATCATTTCTAGTGACTACCAAAGATCAAAAACTTATGTTATATGCCCAAACGAACAAACCGCTGTGGAAGATTCTCATCTCGAGCCCTTCTTTTAATTAAGAATCTGAGCTAGCTGCCCGTTTATGCGGCGGGGTTTGAGTTTTACAGCGCCGAACTAACCTCACGTTATATGATGTTCAAGAGCCTTAATACAATGGCTGGGAGTATCGGTTGAGGTTGCGGTTCCTTAGTATAAGGCTTTGAAGACGTCATTTCGTTCGTTGAAATTATGTTGTTTTGATGATCAAAAACCTCAATGCAATGCCTAGCAATTCTGGGTTGAGGTTGCGGTAAATTAGTATTAGGCTTCAAGTACACGTTATACATGTATTCTTGCTTATCCCTAAAGTTCCAATGTCTTGATTTAAGGTTCACTTACCTATTGGTTAAAGCTACGTTCATTGATCAAAGGATCGGGCTACATAAAATCAATAGCAGTGAATCAATATGCATCGCATTAATATTTTAGTGTGCCTTGACAAGACATGGGGATCAAAGATGGTTTGATACAACGTCCCCGGTCATTAATTTTAGAATCAGAGTAGAGTAGGTACATTAATTACCTATAGAAATGCTCAAATGACTTATTATTAAAGCATCAATTGTAATTATTTGTACTGATATATGTTGACACGTTTTTAGACAAAAAGACACCTGTACCTTTGGACTTCCTGTGTTCTATCCATTGCTCTACTTGTTGGGCAGATTTTCCCAGGTAGAGGAAATACTGCTGAGAGTCTCGAATAGTGTATTTTGTAATTTTTTTCTTGCCGTTTATATCGGTTTGTGTTCCTCGATTGCTGGGCACAAAGAACCCATGAAGAAGCCACAGAATTGTGGCGTTCCGACCATCTATTGGTAGAAAATGAAAGTTAGTGTGACAAAGTAATACTTAAGGTATACTATGTAATCGTAGGTAATATTATCTACGCAATCATCAATTGATATTTTCGATAGTCGATTTGAGGACACGAGAAGCTGCATTATAAGTTAATTTCTACTTACTCTCTTCCATGTCTTCGTCCAGACTTTTTATCAAAGTTTTCAACTCTTTGTCTTTGATACTATTTGCGAGGAATTGTATTATCTTATTCGCACCGGCCTCCCAAATTGAAGAAGGGTCTTTACTATCTCTATTGAGAATGACGAAATCAAATTCAATCTGCAAAAGTAAATTACTTTATTGTTAATATTATTTAAAATCTGAATGATTCCACGTACAAATCTATATCCGGAGGGAGTTTTATATTGCGGCCACTTCTTCAAAATTTCTGCTGTTGAATTGGCTGTTCTGATTTGATTCAATCGATAATTCCCGCACGCCTTCCAAAACCGATCGAGCTCTTCGGCAGATAGATCGTCATTGCGCAATGCGCAGTGACCTTATTATATCCTCCGCGTCCTTTTCTGAATCTGAAACAAATAATAACGTAAATTGATAAGCATATAAACTAATATATTGAAATATATATAATATATACAAAACATTTATTCACTTACCAAGAGCAATATCAGTCCTGCTTGTATCCGTTTTTTCCGTTTTTTTCAAAACAGCTTTATTGAATCTACCGTTGCTGTTCCTCCATTTATTGTAGAGTTTTCCTCTCTTGTTAGTGCGGTAGAACTCCTAGAATTTGTTAAGTTGGAGTCAATATTTTGAACTGAATTAATTAAGCCCAACTTACCAGCTTCACAGTCGGAAATCTCTCGACTATCTCTCGTTCCAATTGATAGCTTGCTGCCATTGTCATGGGGATGCGATTATCCTCGAAGTATCTTGCTATTAAACTGATCAGGGCTCCTCTCTGTTCGTTTTCAAATTTCGAATTTTTTTCCCAGTATTCCATCAACAGCGCTGCTTTCGGGGAGTCTTTCAGAATAGTTGCCAATAGCACTTTGGCACCTGATCCCGCATCGGTTGAATGATGGGATGAACACGGTGACCTTATGTCTGATGGTTCAAGATTGTCCACCCAGATGGATGTGCTTGCGAGCTGCCTTGTCATACCACTTCCAGTGGGGCCAGTTTCATAGGAATTTAGAGGGATACCAATTGATTGTCTCCAGAGTGAGAGATAGTGCTCGAATTCAATTCGCGTTCCAACGTCATATTTTTCGAGCAACTCCCGCACATGGTGTCTCCCCATCATTTTGAGCTGAGGCACGAAAACCTTCTGATCTGAAAAAAAACATGTCAAAATACTTATCAATGCTTATATATAGGTACAGAATTATTTATTTGGATCATGCAAATTAGTTCACTATTTAGATTGTAAATTACATAATTTTGAGACTTGACATACCTACTAAATGATTCAGCAAACGATCAAGCTTCCAGTTAGTCAATAATGTCTGTAATTCTAGAACATCAGCGCTCAAGCAAGCGCTCATTTGGTTGTCTTCTCTGTTTGTTATGTCAAGGAGAATGGAATCAGACGCAGTAAGGTCCGCTGACAAGGCTCTTCTTAGGCTACTGTTGTTCATTAAAAACCCATATTCTTCATCATTTTCGTTGATCCCGAATTCCAAAGTTTCCATTGCTAATTTTGAAAGCTCAACCTGTATATGAAAATCGTACGTATGCTCCCTTATCAGTACCATTTTCTCAGAGAAATAGTTCAGAGATACATAATAACAGAAATATAATAAATTGGAAAGAGTCGTGAGTCTGGTTTAGGACGTTCATTCGTTGTACAAACTGCAAGTCATTCTATGTGAACTAGTGGTTTTCTCTATTTTTAGTCGAAACGGGGACGAAAAACCGTACAAGCTGAGAAGAAAATACGTTATATTTGAGTTATTATTTTACAGTTCCCCCACTTTATTTCGACTTATCAGTTGATTTGACTCCATGAATGTCCGTAGGCTAAATTTGCAGTTTATACAAGGAATCGACGTCTACAACAGCTTAATTATAATGAATAGATTAGATCGTAATTTGTGGAAATTAGATGCTTCTAAAAAACTCTTTTGGTCTCAAAATAGTCTGACCTCTAGGTGATTTGATTACAGTGATTGGAGGTCCTACTATGTCGTTCATGGAAAGGATTGAAATTGATCCTAAATTAGTAGTATCAACTAGATAACCGATAAAATGCTCTTTAAACTCAACATCTCTCAATTTTTGGCAAAATAGTCGTACAGATTCATTGTTAATCACAATAATTTTCAATATGACATAAAATGCAATATCATTTTCGAATGTGGAAACAAAGTAACCTTTACAAGAATATCTTACACCTTTATAGATCATCTCGTCGAAGAATTTCAGGCAGTCCATGTTAATATTCAGTTTATTGCGAATCAATGTTGCATAATTACATTCCGTTTGATGTAAATTATTAACTGTGAAAAGAGTATTGTTATCCGACTTTGATATATTTTATGCAAATCTATATTCATATTTTTTACACAAACTAAGACATATATTTCTTCTGGAGGTAATGCAATTAGAATAAATCTTGAACTGTCGATGAAATGACTCATACTTGAAACACCAAAAATTACGTAATGGTCCAGATTGTTGTATGATTGTGGGGTAATGGACCAAATTATGAAATTTAGGTTTCAGAGTGTCATTGAATAATATCACAAAATCTGAGTTATGTTTTTTGATTTTATGTTCTAGAAGATTGATTGTTGTGTCATCTATTTCAAAACATAGTAAAATGTCTACTATCTCAACAAAATTCACAAGAAAATTCCAGACCGGATCGTCGTTTGGAACCAAATCCTCCATCATAATAAGAAAATATAGAGTGAAAGTCATCATTTGTCTAGCAGACATTTTTAATTTAATTTTTTGTATATGTTTCAGTTCTATGACAGCATTGTGTATATTCTCGATTTCAGTGGGTCCATACTCAAAATGTGTTTTCCGCAAGTTAAAAGTACTTATATCAAAATATTTCATTTGCTGGATAAAGTATAATAGAGCATGGCAAAAGTTGTAGTGGCAAATACCTTCAAATACGTCGTGCATAACATCTGCATAATAATTAGAGACCACATGAAATGACGGAATTTCATTCAATATACATTCGCTCCTGATTCCTGTTAACGCAGGGTTATTCAAGTCCAAGTCATCCTCATAATTTTCTATTGTTCGCATAGAAGCAGAATTCTCTATTACTTGCTTATGACATTCAATTTTATTTGTTTTGCACAACCTACAGAATGAGGTACTGGAAAAAGATTTATTGAAATTTAAAAATGAGTTTAAACCCAAATTGTCGCCCGTTACTAAAGCTATTACGAAATGCACTTCTTCACTTTTACCTTCAACCTCAATTAAAATTCCCGTCTCCTCCAAAAGTTTTAATTCATTTATTAGGTGCTTAAAACACACATCATTACCCAAAGATTTAATATCTTTACATTTCAGAGATGCTGCTAGGAATACATTTTCAGATTTTGAATTTTCTATCGGATGACACGGAAATGAATAATAAACATTACATACAGAGTGCAATCCGGCACGTGACCCCAACGGGTTATTGATTTCAAAGTCGTCAATATATACAAAATATGGAATGAGAATTTTATTTGGATAGAGCTTAGTTTTCTCAGCCCATAATTTGCCCTGAATGAAATTTTTCATTTTTGTGCAAGTTTTGAGCCGATTCATGTAGTCTTGCATGTTTCTTAGTAAGTTTCCCCTTTCGAAAAATTTCCGAAATTGGAATTGAAGTGGCATCAAAACACCTGACAGTTTTTTCTCATCATAAGTTAAACCTCCTTGTCGATGAATTGCAACTACTTCATTACATAATGTATAATGTTTTATATCTCCAACATAGTCATTATACTTTAACAACCTGTGAAGCAAGTGTTCTGAATTATAACTCTCAAAGGGATTTCTTAAAGCCGAAATTATACCCAATATTTCCTCACAGAGCTCAGTATTATTGCTTCTTTTGAGGTAACTATGCAATTCCTTGAACAATTGCACAAATGCGGTAACTACGTGTTTGGTCATAGCATTTTGAACGTAAGATATATCTTTTCTAGAAAAATTACTTTTGTTGTGTAGTTCAAGTATAAACAACAGCAAAGATTGAGTTAATCCATTCTTAATATTTTCAAACTTAAAGTCCACAGGATATTGTGATGGAGGAGGAGGTGATGATATTGGTTCAGTGGGTGTTGTTAGTAGTGGTTCTGGTGGTTTTGGTGTTGGTGTTTTTGGTGGTGATGGTGAAGTTGGATTAGTGGTTGAGGATGTAGATTCAGAATCGACTAATTTAATAGCATTACGAATATGTTTCTGATTCACATGTTTTTTAAATCTATCCAAGTACTGATAAGTTCGCTCACATTCACAACATGTAAATAAAGAGCTTGATCCTAAATCATGCACTCTTTTGAAATGTTGAATCAATATTTTTAGAGTATTAAATTGCCTTTTACATAGGAAGCACAACATCGTACAGGTAGAACTTTTAATGCAATGCAATAGAAATATAGGGAATCACCATAGAATTAACTAACTGAGTAAGCTTGTAGATGGTCTGTAGCTGCAGTACTTAGCAGCAATTCAAAAATGTGTTACCTATTTGGGCAATCGATACTTTCGTAGTTTATTCTGACATTGATAAATCCAAAGAAAGAGACGTTGAAATCACATCGGATCGAGTTTCTCTGAAATTAGGAAATGAAAAATAGTAGTACAAATTTTGCAGAAGCGCATTTTACAAAGCGGGATACCGCTGCAGTGTCAAATGTGTTTAGTTGCATTTCCCGTTGTGAAATTACAATGCGCACTGATTCCGTTCCCCGCGTCCCGCTTGCATATTTGTAAATAGCAGACGCGTTATCCTTTCGGTAAATTTCGCCCTGCTCGAAGAATGTTAATATTTAGCAGATGCGTCCGCCAGAATCCGCCTGGGCCTGACACGTCTGCTGTTTACTGGAGGAAGTGCAGCACAGACATTTTTATTTTTATATTCATATATCAGGTAAGGCGTCAGCTGTCTGCCTGATACGTCGGCTTTTTCACTTTATACCTTAAAAATGCCGAATGCGTAAATGGCCAAAGAATTACGCATATAAAAGTGTTAAGGAAAATAGCGTGATCGTCTGCAAACTCTTCAGTAAATAAGAGGTAGAGGTAAGTTTAATTTAAAATGTTTGTACAAAAATCTTTTGTAATATTAGACCACGTTGACATAGAGAACGCTAATGGTGTCAGGCGCGCATCCTTTTGGTGTATTGTTTGATCCATATTTTTTGGGTGTATATTAATTTATTACATATAAGAAAAGGTAGTGGTCTTCCCCAAAATGGGGGAGACCACTACCTTTTCTTATAATTTTTCCTTTTGGACCTGAATTTGTACTAATTGTAGATTAGATTGTAGATAAGAACATGCTATATAGGCTATCCCAAAAAAGTATGGCAAATCAATGTTAGTGTTATTTATTTATAGTGTAATATTCCTGTATATTTATACAAAAGTAAAGAGCCGAGCCCTGTCCTTTTATTCAGACGCGTCTGGCAAAAATCCAACTTTTTCATCTGCTATATAGGTACAGGTCTTAACCTACTCCGACGTGTCTGCTGTTTACCAAGTGGTTTTGCTGACTCGTCTGCTATATACCACTCTACTTCGGCTCGCGTCTTTTGGCGGACGCGTCTTCTGCTTACAAATATGCGTCCCGCTTTTGTTTGAGAGTACCTATTTCATTGATAGCAGATCGAAGTTGAGATTTAAATATAGTAAAACCTGATGCTTGGATCAAATTGGTATATATGTAACAATTATTACTCACATACAAGTAATTGACTGCAGCTCCCACCCACAAGTCACCTATGTATAAGAAATTAAAAAATGGATCACTAACTGTAATATCGCGTTCACACACAGAGAAAAAGGTTTATTTACACGAAACAAAAATTATTTGTCATAAACAAATTTGTTGTTTGTATATGGCGAAGCAAATATTTATTTCACTGATCTAAATAGTTTGTTTGATTTCTTCAATAAAATATTATGTTCAATTAATGCTATAAAGATACACGATGTAAATAATTTGGTCTTCGAATAAACTATGCATTTTTTCAACGTAACTTGGTCATCTCTTTGGCGTAAAACCGATATATTTTAATTGAATGCAATTAATGTATTGAATGTAACAAAATATTATTTGAATCGAGACTTAAAACACTTTGTTTCAAATAAAGAGGAGTTTTGTTCAAAAAAATGATTTATTTATTGCAAAGAACCTATTATTCAGCCTATGGGTCAATTTATTTAGCACAAACTTTAAACTTGTTTCAACCAAAGTAATTTTTGTTTATATTAAAAGATATTTATTACTTTTCGTAATAAAATTTATTTCAATAGAAAAAACGTTTATTCTAAGCAAATATATATTTATTTAATGTAATACTACTTATTTCAGTGCTAGGTGGAAACTATACATAATATACAATATTATATAATATATAAAACAAAAATTAAAAACTTAATAACACATTCTTTGGCAATAAAAATAGTATTGTCGTATATAGAAAAAAAATAAAACATGATCCTTATTGAAGGGCACATATGACTTTAGTTCCGTTTGCCATAGTATGAATGTTATGACATAAGTGGTTTGGAAGGCGGTCTATGGGCATAACGATCAAATTTATTGAATCATGCGTTGACATAGAATCTAACACTTCGTATCCACCGATATGAGTATTTAGACCGATTAAATGAAGTGGCTGAATTATTAAAAAAAATATATTTTGCATTTTGTTTCCAAGTATGTATTTTATTGTGCCAAACTGTGGTAGATCCGAGGGTAGATCAGTTTCTTCGTCATTATTAATTTGAGAAGCATACCCTAATTTATATTCAAAACTATTTACTTTTAGCCAAGACGTATGAAACAGATTATCAATTTCTATTTGATTCTTTTCGAGTAATTGTTTCAAAATAAAAAAATCTTTTAATGATGCAAGATCCTCAAAATTTCCACAAGTAATGTTGTCATTAAACCCTTGTCTACTTAAAAATCTATATGAAAGTCTGAGCTGCTGTTTAGTAGCTAATGTAAGAAGAATATTTTTTCTGGAAGTTACAGAATTTGCAGTAGATTTTAAAACTTTGTGAAATGCTTCATATCTCATTGACCAAATATGTCTCAAAGGTCCTAAATTCAAAATAACTGTAGGATAATGGATCATGAAATGGTGTTTTGGTTTTAATGTCTGATCAAATAACTCGCAATATAATCTGTGGTGTTTATGGAACGCCAATTTACTATTTATTAACTGCATTTTAAGTATAGCATTTTAATTGGTTACGTTTATATGCCATTGTAATAAAATGGTTTTGTTAAATTAAAATCCACATTTTCTTGGAGTACGATAGTAATTTAAATAGTTTCCTTTGTAACATGTCACAAAATAACGACGTTTATATGACGAATCCCGTAGCACCACTTCAGTTTTTAATGCCTGTAAATACTATAAATTGCATTTAAAATGCGATAGGTTTATTTTGAATGCTTTTTCTTTGCGATCATCTACATCACAAACCTATTTAAATGCTGGTGTGTACAAGATGCGTTTTACTATTTATTATACATTTATAACGTATACCAAAATATTTAAATAACAATTGAATTGTTACCAACAAATTAAACATGTCAAAAAAATGTTAGCCAAATGTATGCAAATGTAGGAAATGTTAATATGGATTTTAGCGTTTGAATCCTAAAACACTACAAGATGACAGAGATGAATATTAAACATTGCCAATTTAATTGTCATGCATCAAAATAAATAGCAATTTGTATAAAAGATTTAAACACATAACGCATTTATTTGGAACTGTCCAGCTATACCAGAAGTGAAATACATTTGCTGCTGTGTGTAATTGAATTGATATTAAATAAAATTGAGTCGAGTATGTTTGCATCCAAAAAAAATGTAAACCATTCTCATGCGTATATCAAATTAAATCGCATGCATTGAAATTCGTATATATGCACTTTAAGAACAAACGTTATTCACGTATTGGATTAAAATAGATACCCGTTGCGATATTACCAATGGAAATAAAATTATTCGTAAGGTATGGCATAAAAATTAAATCGAAGTTTAAGATGTAGCATTGAATTCCAATGTATTTAATAGTGCATCTTTTAATTCAAATGAACGTCGAATTATTTTGTGAATCATTTCTATGCGATACACCGCATTAAAATAAAGCGCATTTTAAGTGTGCTTATACATACAATGGAAATTCGGTCTGCATAAAATGTATCGCATAAGAATGAGACACAAATTTAATGTATCAAATGGAAATGGTATGAATGAAAATTACTCTGCATGCAAATGCGCAGTTACGTTAGAGAAGGAAAGTAGCCGTAGGTCTTAGGTACGTTTTATTTGCGGTTGCGCAAAAACAAAACAGCTGTTATTGATTGTTACTTACATCGAACGTGTAAATGGATTAATTAATACGTTCATCAATTTTGAGAAGGCAAGGGATTTATTGGGTTATTTTCTGTCGGTCACACGTGACCTTTACAGTTTTTACGTACATATTCGGTAAGTCCAATTTTACGATTCCTTTTATGATAACAGTAAACAATGAATGTAGGATTTGCACCTGCTGCGCAATATTGTTTAATATAAAGCAAGAAAAAGGCCGATGGAAATCGAAAGATGTGCAAGAGGCGCCGGGTCCCCTTAACAATAAATTGGAGGTGTACGCTGTCGCTATAAAAATAGGTAATCTCAAATTTCACTTATTCTTACCTGTAATGCAAATTGAGTGAACAGTTACAGGTTCGTGGGAATTAATAATGGATAAAGAGTCCAGAGATAAACCGTTAATGGAACGAAGCTCATGTTCTACGACTCTTGTAAGGAACAAGCACATCGACAAGTTGATGCTCCTTCGTAATGGAAATTGTGTCGAGTTCAATCGTGATATATCTACTAACACGATAAGTTAAATATGTAATCTCCATTGAATGAGAGATTTGTATATTTACAAGATGCTAATACATGTACCTGTGTAGAAACACGAGCATGTGAGACATTGTTAGACACGTATCTCGTTCTGTTTGATGGGTGCACCGTAGTATGTAAACGATGACGTCGCTAACAAAGTTACACAAAGATTGTCAAAAAAAATTTGTATCCTGATAATTAAACGATTATCCTATTCGTCATCTGGAAGCGTTTATTTCAAAAGTGAACCACACACCGAGAAATGTAACTTCCCTACATACCAAAAGGCAGATTGAAAGAGAAGTCCTCGCAGGGATGATAGAAGCGTAGTTCCTCTTAACCCTTCAGTGGTGACGCACGGTCTCTCAGACCGACGAAAAGTATTTTTCAAATTTTTATAAAAACGATGCAGCGCATGGCACTGCTAGTTCTGCTAGCTTAATATTTTGCGTGTCTGAGACCAGACGAACAACTTGATGAAGCAAGCCGTTCTTTGACAATTTAGTGCCGTGAGTAATTGGCCGCTTTCCGGTGCATTGATGCTACGAAAATTCTAGTCAGCGCAGCATTGCAACGCGCATCCCCCCATAAGCTTAGTATTGTGTATAATTCAATTTAGTTATGTTCAGTGGCGGTCCCAGGGGGCCCGGCTCCCCCCCCTATTGTTCATTTTTTTCATCAGATTTATTCTTTTCCGTGTTGGGACAAAGTTCGGGTTTGGGCCCCTCCCTTTACCAAATCCTGGGACCGCTACTGTCAGTGGCGGTCCCAGGGGGGGGCCACGGGCCCCCTCATTCATTTTTTTCATTAGATTTCTTTCATTTTTTTCCATGTTGGGGCAAAGTTCGGGTTTGAGCCCCTCCCTTTACCAAATCCTGGGACCGCTACTGGTTATGTTACAAGAATAAAATTTATTTTTCGATTTATATGCCTTTATTTATTGACTGTACTTTTTCCTTTATTTTAAGCCAAGTTACATGCGTAGTAACTATACGAAATCAAGCCAAAATCAAATTCGGTCTCTCAGACCGAGGTCACCACTGGTGTTCCAAAATTTCACGTCACCACTGCAGGGTTAAAAACCCCTGTTAAAGTTTTTCTAGAAATGCTCCAGAATTTGAGAAATAAATTTTTAAAGTTGACCACGCACATACTTCTAAATAGAACACCTAACTTTGACATCGCATTAAAGAAGTTACAGAGAGGTTGGAAGAAAACCCCCTATAGGGGTGATAGAAGGGATGTTCCCCTTTAAAACCCATGTTACAGTTTTTCTAGAAGTGCCCCAGAATTTGAGAAATTAATTTTTAAATTTGACCTTGCACGTACTTGTAAATAGAACACCTAATTTTGACATCGCATTAAAGAAGTTACAGAGAGGTTGGAAGAAAACCCCCTGTAGGGGTGATAGAAGGGATGTTCCTCCTTTAACACCCTGCTCGCAGTTTTTCTGGAAGTGCCCTATCATTCGAGAACTTATGAGTGTGTTTGTTCATTCTTTTAAATGTGAACGTTGTGATTTAGGTAATTTTTGCTGTGCATGCGTGAGTTGTGGTTATGAAGCCGATTTTGCGTGATGATTGATGTCATTCACTTGAAAATGTTTGTTTATAATTTTCGGTGAAGTCCCAGACTATAATATAGGAAACCACGATCACTGCTTTTTTCATTCCATAAGAATCTCTCTTTTTGGTTATGTTATTGTGATCCTGTATATTGTACCTATAACGGTAGACAACTGCTATTTGCATTGCATGTAAGTGCACGTGCACGGCGTAGTAGTTACTGTTATGGAGGTGGTTATTGACAGTGGATCTATTACCTACTTAAAACCTTATATCTATCTGTATGTACGTGTGCGTTTACAATGAACGTATACAAAAATTCTTTTAAATGTGAACTTTGTGCTTTCTGTAATTTTTATTGCGCATGCGGGAGCTGTGGTTATGAACCCGATCTTGGCGGGCTAACGCCAACTTCAAAACACACCGGAATATTTGACCATATTCTGTAGTGAGGGAATGCCAAACTAACATGGCTGCCTATTTGAATATTCTCGCTTAAGTTTCCCGCGAGAATCTGTCACTCGGGGGCCACTCCGAGTGCACTAAGATCGTGATCGTCATGTAGGACACCTACGTTGTGTAATAACTGGGTTCTCAGCAGGCACTGAGGGTGTTTTATGGATAAGGAACACCAAAAGTAAAAATAAATAGCTGATTAAGTTTATATTGAATCTAATACCAATACGATTACAGAGTGACCCGCATAATGGTTTTTAGCGGCGCCCCTGCAGAGGGTATTAGGTGGTTCTATACTACTCCGGCATTTACCTTACGAATTGGAAAACTGCAGGAAAACCTAATTCGGAGTAGTCCTATAATAAACATCTAATGTACAGCACTTTTGAGCCCCCTCGAAACCGGGGTAAATACTATACAAACACGCTATGAGTAACCAAAATGGAATCGAGACATTCTCCAGGTATTACAACACATCATCAGGCAAAACTAAGAAGTGTTAAATATACCTCGACGGCCGGGAGGATTACCCAGGCCCTGTAGACATGGGCTAAAGTTGTTGGGTTCGGAACGAGTGAAAATGTTAGTGTTAGGTTCACCAAGGCCCGTATAAACTTGAATAACTCGATCCCCTCTAAACAAGCACACTTCCCTCTTGATTACTCCAGTCCCAAATAAGCAAATATAATGAAATGCAATGAAATAATCGAGAGTGACTAAAAAGCACAATACGCAAATATGTACACATGCAAGTATGTACAGCACAGATACAGCCCTACCGACAATGAAACATGACTGCCAATACCAACAAAGGTTACACATTAAGAGGTACAAGTGATTGAATCCAGTAAGTACATAAGTAAAGAGTTACAATCTACATTCAAGTTATGCACATTTATAGATTAATTGAATAAAGCAAATACCTCACCTGATACAAAAAAGCAAAAGGACACAGTTAAGGTATAACAAAATATTTCAAGACAAGCCGTACTTTACACTTCAGCCGGTTACAAGACAAAGACCATGAACACACATGTCAAATCCTATTTATTGAACAACCCAAGCCATTCGGTAATTTGATCTGCTAATACCCCTAAAAACCTCCCGAAAAAAAATTCTCAAAAGAAGGATTTGCGTAAATCGCAACATTCCTACACTCAAAATGTGCGATTCTCCCATAAGCTCAATAATAAATTTGGGAAAAATGGCGGAAATGAGCATATGGCCACACTGTCTTTATAGAGTCACTGTAATATGGGCACCGACAGCATAATACCTATTGGGCATTTACGAAAACTGGAGCGGTAGATCCACGATGGAAAATGTCGGTAAACATTTGATGATGACTGATGAGATGCGGTAACTTTGGTGCATGCCTGTTTATAGAACAATGCTTTTGTCATGTGTAAATGTAGCGCATAAATTTATAAACATATAGAGTAGGAAACAAAGATAGTTCCACAAACAGAACACCCTTCCCCATGTCAAAGGGTGCTGATAAATTATTAAACACAATGGAATAAGTTTCAATCTATAAAATGAACTAAAAATGCCGAAAATTACGATTTTTAGAAATAAACAGATATAGTTTCATCTGTCAAATCGCTACAGCGTTGCCGTCGTGACACACTAATTATCTTAAATTTTCTTATTAGGCCGTTTAATTTCAACTTATAATAGTTTGTTTTTCACCACCTTTATAAATATTTAAAAATCCATTTAGATCCTTTCTATATATCTATTATTAATATTAATTAAAAAATGGTTTCGCGAAATGTGACAAGTTCGCTTCCTGCAATATTTACAAACACGACGAGATTATGGCGCGTTTTGATAAGCATCAAGGCATCGCTATCTTTATTTCTTACTCTGAGATAAACAGCATATACCTACAAGGCTACATTAGCATATACTTACTACCATGAAAGTGTTTCGTAAGATCTAAGGTTTCGAATATAACAAAAAATGTACACAACGGAAGTCCTCTTGATAATTATTGAAGGAAAGCCAAAAAGATTGCAAAGTGAGGTTACAACTCTTGCACCTTTTTTTAGTGGCGCGCGTGGACCAACCAGATGAATACACTCCAATTAGTGATCCATTTCGTTAATGTGATCGGTACATATGGTAATAAAAGAACACTGTAAAATAATTACCTATCACATTTTCGAACGCTACGGTATATATACCGGGATCTACAGCTCCAATTTTTGTAAATGCCTCATAAATATATTACACCAATAGGCCTTCTAACCACCTCCATAACAGTGGCTACTAAGCCGTGGACTTGAATTTGGTTGGAAGTGGCTGACACATAGAAATTACCGTTAACAGGTACAATACACAGGACCACAAAAACTTATAACCAAAACGAAAAATTATGAAATGAATAAATTAGTAATCGTGGTTTAATATACTATTTAATCTGAAGACTTCGCCGAAAATAAATTACCAAACCTGTCGGCTGTCATGTGATTTAAGCTGAATTTATAGTTCCGTACCCGCAACACCGCACCGTACCGTAACGTTTGGAATTACTTGTTGCGCGTGAACATTTATAGTTCCCGTTTACGTTGCGTTAGAACGGTTACGGTACGTAGGAAATGCCCAAATCTATTCCTTACGGTAAATCGCGCTAACGCGCCTGTCTTCGATAGTACTCGGATAATTCAAACAGTTGAGTTTATCCGGACGTTCGTTTCGTTTATTTACAGTAATTATTGACACTTTGTTGGTTATTATTATTTTGAAATGCACGTTACTCTTACTGACAGATGACATACAATGGCAGATAAATACGCAAGCTCATCTCTTACCACTACGGTAACTATAAATCGCATAATTTTCGTTAACGTCAGATTTTACGGTTCCGTTCTTACGGCTACGGAACTATAAAGCCAGATCCGGCTTTAATGTGAATAACTGCAACAATTACACAAAATCGGCTTCATAACCACAGCTCCCGCATGAGCAAAACAGATGACCAAAATCACAACGTTCACATTTAAAAGAATGACCAAAATACCCTTAATCATTAAGTTCTCGAATTTTAGGGCACTTCCAGAAAAACCGCGAGCAGGGTGTTAAAGAGGAACATCCCTTCTATCGCCCCTATAGGGGATTTTCTTCTAACCTCTCTGTAACTTCTTTAATGCGATGTCAAAGTTAGGTGTTCTATTTAGAAATGTGCTAGGTCAAAA